CCACCGGCAGCCGCTCCCACATCCAAATGGAGAAGGCCCAGACAAAGCCACCCATATTGGACTTGTCTCACGTCCTCTCCGTTGCGTCGTCAAGCTGCAAAAAATCAAATGAGGATCAGATATAACAAAATGTCATGGACATACTTTCGTAGGTAGGAAATTAGATACTCTCTTACCTAACGGTATAGGTAGGCGAGAAATGCGGTACCCCAACTGTACCCTGCATCCTAGTCGGCTAGGAAGAACAGATACGACCAGTCGGCAGAGTTCCCAGATGCGTCTGGAAACACGACCTCTGTGAGAAGATACCACAGGTAGGCCCTCGCATACCACTCCACAGTCGTCTCATCGGTGGCTTGGGGGCATGTCTTCCGGTGCTCTGAGAGCCAGGGCAAAGGCACACCGGATGTACGGTTACCCTTAGCCTCAGGGCAGTCGCTGATGAGGGTGGTAACCCTCTCCTGCCAGTTGGTCCTCTCCACTCGCCCGGTCAGTGCATGACCCTCGATCGGCCTGGCAGTAATCACCGACCAATCCTCGAGGGTCACCGTCATCTTCCCGCATGGGTGATGGAAAGAATGGGTCTCCGGTCGCCACCGGTCAATCAAAGCTGTCAGAGCTGCATGGACAAGCGTCGGCGGCTGACGCTTGAACTACAACACGAAACCCAACAGTCGGGCTCTCTTGAAGAACGGCGCGTAGCGCTCGTCGTAGTCCATATGCCCATGAACCCCGTGACCCCTCATGTGCAGTGGCTGGAGCATCTCTCAAAAAGTGAACGCCAAAAGTTAGGAGATTATTTTCATCAATCCGAAAACTTTGATCAATATTTCATTCATATCACTTACCTCTCCGTTCTCTATGAAACGGACACGATGACCCTTATCGAATGCCCAGTCCAGCATGGAGTACCGTGGGCCGATGTTGTCCGCAAGAGGTGGCTGTCTTAATAAAATTTCATAAACAAAAACATCATAAGCATAAGCATACATAAACATGCATCATATCAAAATCATATCACCATGCATCATATCAAAAAAAATCCTCCAACAACATCTACTACACATGATGGATCAAATCATATCAACATGCATCATATAAAAAAATCCTCCAACATGCATCATATCACCAAAAAAATCCTCCAACATTCATCTTCAATGTATTATCTCCAAACAACATCTTCATATCATCATATCAACATGCATCATAAAACTACAATCAAGTCCTCCCACATGCATTACATCACTACTAAGATATCATCATATCAACATGCATCATAAAACTACAACCAAATCCTCCAACTAGGGTTCATCTTCACACTAACATATGAACTATTGATTAGAGTTCATATTCAATACCACTACTTAATAAAGAACTAAGAACTAGAACTACAATCAAGCTAAAACAATCTTAGGTCAAAAAAATCCAATCTAAGTTCAAAAATATGAGGGATTTCAAGCAAATAATGCGTCGAATCGAAAGCAAGTTTGCAAAACCTAATTGGAGGGATCGGAGGAGCTTACGTTTCTCTCTTCGGGGCCATCTCGATCCGCAAAAACGGTGAAGAATCGGCCAAGATCCGAGGGGGAGAGTGGAGGAGATGAGAGAGGGAGAGAGGGGCGACTTGGGGGAGAAAGAAAGGAGAAACTGCCGACGGGGGGGAGGGGACGGGTGGGGAAATGGGCAGGGGCGCGGGGTCTCGGGCGAAATAACTGCCCGGACCCTACCGCTAGAGCCCCTGGCGGTAAGAAAAAGGGTCAAATCTCAAAAAAAATCCCAACCGGGGCCAGATCCTGAATTTATACCACAAAAGGCTCAGAACACGAAATTTTGCCGCAGTCGGGTTCGCACGCCCGCTCGCCGGCTCCTGGTCCGGATGTTCAAAGAGAAGCTGAGCAGATATAAAGGAAA